CTAGCTCCCCCTTTTCGCTTCTTTCAATTTAATTTTCCTCGACGGCTGACGCGGTGGATGGACTTGCCGGCGGGTTTTGTTTACAGGGCAGCCCGGTTCGATTTGGAATTTGTTTGCTTTTTCCCCTGCTGTGGAGGAAGCATGTAAAGATTTGGATTCTGAGACGAACTTGGACGGGAAAAGATCCATTATACTTCCCGCGGATTTAACAAGCGCCATCCATCGTTTCGAGTTGAATCCCATTGCGTAGTTGCTGTTTGGTTGGAACTTCAGCGAAACCTGTTGTTTTCAAGCACTGAGACCGGTAATTTCTAATTAGAGCCTTTTTATAATTTTTTTTTTGGCACCTTGAGTGCCCTACTTGGGAAGTTTCTTTTGTTCCGAAATTCTCATCTTGGAACTCGTTGAAATAGCTGGAAAACAGTTAACTCCGCTACATGCTTAGGGTTTGAGTAAAAGGGCTTTATAATAAAGAGGGGGCTTCTATCTTGGGATCAGAATAGAGCTCCTTGATGCCTTGACAATGTGGTGTACTAGTTATTTGCAAAATGGACGGTTAGGCCTCTCCATCATGTAAAATCTACTTGTGCATCGGTTGGTTCTTGCTGGAACGGAGCTGGTGGTCAGATTTCCTTTTGGATTTGTCAATTATATCTTACAGTATGAAAGCTCCCCCAAATGGGTTTCTGGCCAATTCTGGAGAAGGTAACTCTTATTTTCAATTTGTAGGCAATGTCTACTTTCTGAATCCATTTCTACCACTTATTTAGTTTTTATATGTTATTTTCCCGTTTAAGCTAAAGTTCGGAGGTTCAATGCTGTTTTCCTAGTCTGTACGAAATGCGAGTTGTTTTGTGCCGTTGATGCTTTCTCTTTCCTGATGTACTTCTTCTCCTTGTTTAACTGCTCAATGTGTTAAATCTTCACAAAGAGAGCCCAGCTTTTTTTGAGCACTGTCTAATACGGTTAAAATTCCTAAGCACGCATCAAAAGTTTATTTTCAAGACAGAAGTGGTATATTTTCGATTCTTTTCTTTCCGGATGCAGTAACATAGCATATTGGATCATGCTCGAGTTTAACCCCAAGTAGTCTCTGAACCAAGTGAGAAAAAGTTCTGTTTTTCTCTCATTTTCATTGACAACGAATTTCAAATACAGCATGATTTTACCTTTCACCTCTTCCATTTCCTTTAATGTCTTGGCCATCTTTAATATCACATAGTGAGGGAATTATGTTTAACTGTACAATTAGCCACATTATTGCAAATCTCAGCAATCATCGAATTTATTCTCCATGTTTATCTTCAATATAAAGTTCTTTAAGAACAGGATTGCTGAGAGATTCTGAAGTTGCATATGTTCTGGACATGCTAAAAATCTACATAAACATTCATTCAATTTGCTGACGGGGTATGTTTGATTTTCCATATTGAGTGAAGCAATTCATTTATGGTTCTCGAAACCAAAAGTTCTTCCAATTTCTACTGATTTAAGTCTTCCTCAGGCATGCCAATGATGATGATCAAACAAGCACAAGCTACCGATATGGATATGAATTATAATTCCCTTAATTGCTTAATAGAGAAATGCTTCTGCCTCTGTAATTTAGTTTACATCATCATGTTAGTGGTGGTCTGAGTTCTTGGATCATTGAAATTTGAAGTGTTAAAAAATATCATGGACCAATCTAGTATCTGAATTAAGATTTCCATGTGTGACAACTTGTTTAGCTTTACCACAAGTCATTGAGCTTACATGTTTACGTACACATACCATGTTTTTTCTTACCTATATGCGTGCATATACCACATAGGCATGCACACACCCCTTCATTTGAGTGAGCTTGTTCATGTGGGTGTGAGGGCATGTTGGAAGGAGAGGTTCAACACAGATTCAAGTTTGTTTAGGATTACTTCACCCAAAAAAGTTTTGCAGCCATGAAACTTTTGACATATTAAATGTTCTGGGAAAGGAGCTTCCCGAAGGGTTCTGAAACTTATAATCTCTTGGTTGAGTCCACAAGCCTCTACTATTTTTCCCAACCTCTAGTTTAGGACTTTATACTCATGTAAACACCTAATTAAGATTTTTATGTTTGGTTAAACTGGTAGATAGTACGTTATGGATGTGGAATATATATGTAATTACTACTGATAAGTGTCACTAGTGATGGACTCGTAGAACTATCAATTAGTATTTATAGTTAGAGATTTGGACAATTTTCTTGAAATAGAGAGGCATCTGAACATGGTTTAGAAAGCCCATGAATTTCCTTGAAATGGAGAAGCATGTATACATAAATGTAAAAAAGTGCGCCAAGCTGAGCACCGTGGAGCGCCTCATCTCATGTGAGGCAAGGCCACCTTACTAAGAGCCTCATGCTTTAGTGCCACAGTGCTCCCCCACACAATCTTCTGAATAGATCAGCTACTTTTTAATATCTAAGAAAATGTCTTAATTTGCCCTCAAGGGATGGCTCTATTGGCAAGGGCTCGAGGTTTCTTAGTCATACTCATACCGGCTTAAAGGTATCAAGTTCAAACCTTCATGTCAGCTTAATACAAAAAATCATTGATGTCTCTTAGGTCCAGGCCTTGGGGCGAGCGCTAGTGCCCCTGGATATAGGGGAACAAAGCTCCGACTCCCGATTATTAAAAAAAATAGAGAAAGAAAATGCCGTAATTTCTTTAATTTTTAGTTGCATGCCTATTTTTATAAACAATCTCTTAAATGGCACCTTTATTTATTTAATTTTTCATTATCTCATGATCCATAATATATATTTCTATTAAGTTGGACAATTTTCTTACTTTTATATTGCGTGCTTAACAAAGAAACAAAAGCCTACACTTTCTTTTTAACCTAGCACTTGTGCTCTAGAGGGTTATTTCACCTCAATGCAACTTGCGCATTGTAGTAGATTGGTGACATTTAAATTGGGCGGTGCAAGAGGTTTGCTTAAATGGAATGAAATACAAACATTGTTATGTTTTCTGCGCGTGACCCATTCTACTTCTTCGGTTAATTTTGCATTGGTTGTTAAATTGATTAACTAAATTGAGCTTCTATTGCTATGTATTGCTCTTGTTGAGCTAATTCTATGCCATTTTTCTCTTCTTCTTTTTCTTTCTTTTTATTTCATCTCAAGGTTTGTATCTTGAACATTTTCCCTTTTCATATATCAATGAAAAGTTGTTTCTAGAAAACTAAAACATAGACAAAGATCTAAAAAAAAAAAACTAAGCTTTTATCTGAAATGTCATATCAAGGTAAAATAAAGACTTGTTATTTGAAATAGCATAATAAGCAATAAAAGAAGCAACTAATTGTCTTAGATAGGTCTTCTATGCAATTATTTTATGTTTGTTAAATTGCGAGTTATATGGTTGACTCTTATCATATGTAAATATTTCGTATATCTCAATCATCCAATTATCTTAAGAAACAAGGTAGTTCAACGATTGTGGGGATTAAACCATTGACCTTTTATCCACTAATGCTTCCATTGTCTATTTTTCCATTTCTTAATTTGGGTTATTGATTGCTTTTTTGTTTTTCTTAATGGCAATAACTTTTTGTTTGGTTTGAGAACAGGTGAAAGGAAGAATATTAATTCTGAGTTATGGCATGCTTGTGCTGGACCTCTTGTTTCGTTACCTCCAGTTGGAAGTCTTGTGGTTTACTTCCCTCAAGGGCACAGTGAGCAAGTAAATACTTTACCTTTCAATTTATTTGAACATATACCCACGGATTGTGGTTTATGATGAACTTTACTTTTATTTTTCGAACCTTTCAGGTTGCAGCATCGATGAATAAGGAGACTGATTTCATTCCAAACTACCCTAACCTTCCTTCAAAGTTGATCTGCATGCTCCATAATGTCACATTACATGTATGAGGGCTTCAATGTCCCATAGAGCTAATAAAATCTCGTAAAATAGAACAAATACATATTGAAAGGAATAAATCAGCAGTTTGGATTAATCTTTTGTTAGCACTTGAATCACAATATCTTGTTTTTGGTGGCCTTCCTGACTACGGTATTCAACCAAAATATTTATATTAGAACATTATGAGATTCATGCTAACAGGTCATTGGCTGGTTAAAAGAAAATCAACGTTCTGTGTGCAATTACCAAAAAATTACAAAACAAAGATAAGACCTGACAATACATTTGTGAAGCACAATATGAGATGATTGTTTTGTGTTTTTAACCAGGCTGATCCTGAAACTGATGAAGTGTATGCACAAATGACCCTTCAACCAGTGACTAAAGTAGGTTAACCAGTTAATCAGTGTTCTATGCTTTGGATTCATTTATACGTTCCAAAATTTTCCTTGTTAGAAGAATATTCTGACTTTCTGTTTTGCAGTATGAAAAAGAAGCTTTATTGGCATCTGATATTGGCCTCAAGCAAAACAGGCAGCCTGCTGAGTTCTTCTGCAAAACACTAACAGCTAGTGATACCAGCACTCATGGTGGATTTTCTGTACCTCGTCGTGCAGCTGAGAAGATTTTTCCCCCATTAGTGCGCATCGCATCTCGGATTTTTTAAATTAGCTTCATTCAATATATTGGTTTGAGAATACTATTTTATTTAAGTATTGAATTAGTTGTTATTTTTCAACATTCTAACTGTCTATTTAGAAGTTATGTTTAAAAATAGTATTCTGTTTCAAAATAAAATTGGTTTTAATTGCAAAAAACTTATTTGACAAGATATTTTTCAAAAAAAATAGTTTTGATAACAAACAAAATCATTGTGTTGTTGCTTTCATGTAGTTTCTTCATGTTCATATATAGTCTTTAATTATTGATGTGCATGCATAATCATTAATTATTTTTTAAGTTTTACTTTAATTTAAATTTGTTTTTATTGTAAAATTATTATGGAGACAAAAGAAATGACAATACTAGAAGTAAAAATATTTTTCTAAATATTTTAAAACTAAAGCAATAGAAATTCAATATGGAAGGTTAATCTATAAAACAGTTCTCAAAATAATTTAAAATAAAAAAAGCCGAGCATAGCTCAGTGATAATTGACATATATTTTTCAACCAAGAGGTTGTGAGTTTGATCCCTCACCCCACATGTTGTACTAATAATTTTTTAAAAAAATTTAGCCAATGGAATAGTAATATATTTTCATGTGGTGATTTGACAAGATGCATCAATATGCTTACATGTACTTTTTCTCAATTGTTTGTAATTTCTCCTTTTATATTTTTCTCTTGTATCCACGATTTATTTATTTTTTATTATTTAGGTTAGAATTATAAATTTTGTCCCTATGAGTTTAGCCTAGTTTCAATTTAGTGCTTATAATTTAGACTTAATTTCAAAACTCATGAATCATTCCTATATCGCTATTTACCCACCCAAAAATCCACCTATTTTCCTTTATTTTTATTCAACTCCAAACCCTAGTATAGCCAACTAACATAGTAAGCCAAATAGATAACATCAGCCTTTGCTAGCTAAATGGGGTTGGCATTTTAACAATGAGCCTCAAGCTTTGTGGCGTTCAGTAGTGGCAAGTATTTATGGAATTGATGAGTGTGGTTGGAACGTGACAAAGAGGTTTCATGGCACTATGCGCAGTCCTTGGCTTTTGGCGGAAAAATTCTCTAGATTCAAAGTAGGCAACGGTAAGAGAGTTCTTTTTGGGCATCATTTGTGGTTAGGAGATTCTTTGTTACGCTTACGGTTTCCCTCTATTTTCAATCTCTCCTTGAGTCCCTCAATTACTGTTTATGAAGCGTGGGATAGTAGATCTTCTTCATGGAGTTTGGAATTGAGGAGAGCTCTGAAAGATGTTGAAATTGAAGAGTTTGCCAACCTCTTGGATTGTCTATCTTGTTTTGTTCTTAGTGAGGAAGAAGATGCTAGGATTTGGTCCTTGGAGCCTTCTGGTTCTTTTTAAGTGAGTTCTTTATGCAAGTATAAAGATTATTGTGCCTTTATGTGGAATTCATGGAGTCCAAAAAAAGTGAGTTTCTTAGCCTGGATTTTGCTTAATGGGAAAGTTAACACTGCAGAAATTCTCCAAAAAAAGCTTCCTAATTTGGCATTGCAGCCCTCGGTCTGTGTTTTGTGTGCTGTTCATGGTGAATTTCAGAATCATGTTTTCTTCTTCTGCCCGTTTGCTACTGCTTGTTGGTCTAGTCTACTCAACATTTTCAACGTCTCATGGGTTTTGGATTTGGAAGCTTCAAAGAATGTCTATCAGCTGCTGTTCGGTTTGAAGTTATCACATAAAGTAAATCTGATGTGGGTAAATGCCTAAAAGCGATTTTGTTGGAATTATGGTTTGAAAGGAATCGATGAGTTTTCGAAGGAAAATGTAGACCGGCCTATGAATGCTTCAATTTAGCTAAGTTTAAAGCTTTGCAATGGTGTGTTCTTTCCAACTTATTTGAGTCCTACTCACTTAGCATGAATTGTTTGAATTGGGAGGCTTTTATATTTCCTTTGTAATTGTTATTTTCTAGTGATTTGTTTGTTTTCTTTTCCCTTTTCATTTTCACTCATTTGGGAGTTTGTATCTTTGAATAATTTTTGTTCCTTTTCATAACTTCAATGAAAATTTCGTATCTCGTTAAAAAAAATCATAGTGACTAAATTGAAACTTTTAAAATTATAAGGATAAAATTGAAATGATGTCTAAACCATAGGGACCGACCAAATTTGTCATTTAACCTATTATTTTACTCGAGACTTCGATGTGCCCTCTCTTCCAAATCTACTTATTCCACTCAAACCTATTTATTGTCTCCTCTTTTCCTTTATTTTCTCTATTAAATCTGTCATTTTTCTCTGTTGTGGGTGCAATAGCCCTTGCCTCCCAACTTGTTGGGCTACTGATTATCCTCCCATATGCTTTACATATGTCTGGTGCAAGAAAACATGAAGCAGTTAATAAGGATAGGGAAAGGGACTGCTGAAAGGTAATTTGGTCTCTTAGGTATGATTTTGTTGTGCAAGTTTGTTATAATTAAGAATACAGGGAGAGGGAGAAGAGAAGAGCAACTAGATGTCTTCTGAAATGCTCTCTCTCCCCCTCTGTCATTCCTCACCTGCCCCCTCTCCATGGTCCCTTATCCTTGCCTAAGCCTCTCCTCCCCTCTACCTTGCCCGGGCCTTCTTCATCTCCTTGCGAGCTATGGGTTGGAACTACCAGCAGTATTTGATGCTTGTGAAAGAAAAAGTCCTACACCATTGAAGTCAAGACTTGAGAGTGCATACAATCAAGTAGCACAAGGCTCTCTAAGATCAGAAAAGGTTTCTCTCTTCTATCTCCCTTAACCAAAATTCTTCAAGTTTGAACCTTCGGGTGGACTTAGAGGTCTCAAGTTTGAACTTTCGAGTGAGCTTAATACTAAAAAATTCTTGATGTCTCTTGAGTCTGGACGATGCTTCGGGTATAGGGGAGCAAAGCTCCAACTCCTAGTTATCAAGAGGAAAAAAAAAATAGTTGTGGCCGAGAAATGTACATTTGAGCCAATATGTGGTGGTCAAAATTGATATCGTACCCTCCCACAAATATCCTTGAAGGTGATCTTTCTAATTGGGGTTGCCCTTTACAAATACCAATGGCTACAGGGTGGTCATGAGTTCTGACATCATCGTGTGGCGGGGAGTCTATGAAGGTGTTTGTTGTCTCTTCTCAACATAGATATTGTGAAGTGGGAATCTTGGGACATTATTTCGAGTACAAAGTCGCCTGAATTGGCAGGCAGCATAAATATTGATTGAAAACTTTGAAGGTGACATTTTGCATTGGCAATTAAATTGTGTTCTATGCATGGGGATTTTAGGCGGAGTCAATTTTGGGTTCCAGTGCAGGCTATAATCCATACTCTAAAAGCCAAAAAGCAAGTTTTATTGCATTTGGAATTTGGACTATATATGAGGAAGCCATAGACACGGTCGACCTAGTATGCGGGTCGAAGACATTGCCAAAACAATGTTTTTAACATAGGGACATTACAAATTTCTTGTGATGCCTTTTTGGCCTCACCAATACACGGTCCACTTCTCAAATGTGACAAGTGAAGTTTCCAGATCTAACTCTTGATAGTTTGTGTTATTTTGTTCCAAATCACATCCTCCTTTGCAGTGGTAGTTTGGACGATGATTTGAAGCACCTACCTGCTGTCCATATTGTATTATGAGAGCAATAATACGAAGAAATGTGATTTTGCTATAGAAGTACAGAGTACTTGAATACTTGGGTCAAATTTTTTTGGAATAGGGAGGAGCTGGTAACCCTGTGAACATTGAGGATACAGCGTAGTGGCCAGTGTTTTAACATTCAAGGATAGCAGATTCCTAGGCTGACCAATGATTATTGCAAATTACTTGGATGTTATGAAACCATCGCATGGCCCTGCATGGAACAACCCAAGAAGGATAGTTTGGTTGGAATGTAGAAGTAAAGAAGGTATTTTGTGAGTTCAACGAAGCTATGCCTATACTGCCATTTTTGGCCCTCCCTAATTTCTCCTGACCTTTTTCCTTAGAGACTGAACCACGAGGTGGGAATTGGAGTTATACTTATGTTGAAATTGAATAGCAACCTGTTGATTTTCAGCCAAGTTATAGGAAGTTTATTTTTTGGATCATGAAAAAGGGTTCACAATATCTCCTAGATTAGTGTGTAATTGGCCACTAGTATCAGAGGTGGGTGCTGAATTGTTGGGCTGTCAATTTGAGGCTCCCGACAAACCAGGTAAGGTTACTGTGTGGCTGGTGCTTTGTCTCAAGTTCAAGGAGCTCTACAGTTCTAGGCTGCCATGATTTCGTCATTCTTGCTAATGAACTTGAAAGTCATGTTGTTGAAGATGATTTCTTGAGCAAGGTGTAGGGAAACTCCTGGCAGACAGTTGGACTTGCACCGGTTTATTCTTTTTGGACCTGTGGATGGCTGAAGAAGGCAGGATGGTAATTTCCCGTAATAGCCGTCAATGCTACAACTGGCACAGGAGTATCACCTATACCCTCATAAGTGGCCATTCAGGGGCTCTTAAAATCTATTAGTTACCAATGGAACTTTTTTTGGTAAGCATGATTTAGCATGTGGCTGCATTCTCATTCACGTGCAATCAAAGTCTTAGTTGATCAGGACTTACTTGCCGTGGAGCAACTTAGGAGAAGTATAAAACAGCATGTAGCAGCAATTTTCATTGTTCACCTTGAGGAAAATGGTGAATGCTTGGACAGTGGGTGTTGATGAACCTCCAAAATATGGTTTACAAAAGCATGGCACGAGAAAACAGGAGGCAGCTAATAAGAAAAGGAAGAGCCAAAGTGTAGTTTGGGTCTTTGAGGTGTAACACTGTTGAGTAATTCCATCACAGTTAGTTGCAGGAATGGGTTTAAGAATTGAGGAAGAGATAGAGGAGAGGTTTCAAAAGAGGAATGTACTTTTCATTTATCAATGAAAAGTTTGTATCTTGTTCAAAAAAAAAAAAGAATGTCTAGGGGCTTTCAAGCTCTCCCGGTGGGTTATTCAGCTTTTGGGTTCTCCCTTAGCTTATAAAATTCAGTTCACTTATTGTCGTATTCTCGAGTGTAAACTCTTCAGCTACTTCCCTTGAAATGCAGACTTCAAGTATTTTCCATAGCTGACGCCTCATCTTTTTCTTCTTTCCCTTCCATTGTTGTC